CATTGTAAAATGTACATGGGCCCCACATACATGTCGACACTTGGACCCCACATGCATGTCCACCAATGGCATGTCGGGCCCACCTCGTAAAATGTACATGGGCCCAACATACATGCCCACCAATGGTATGTGGGTCCCTCCTTAGAAAATGTATGTGGGTCTTACGTGTTAAATAAAAGGTTTGTTGGCCCACACACAAGTCATTCATATATACATAACACACATTTTCATCACATTACCAAACGGTCTTCTAGCTTTTATGGTCTTTTGTGAGATCTATGTAAAATATTTCAACCAAACAATCTTTGGTCTTCAAAGATCTATTTTCAAAAACTCACCCTGTCTTTTAACCATTAAATCTTGTAATAGATCTTCTGGAAAAGACTTGCCAAACAGGCACTCATTAAAATAGTCTGCACTTATTTTCTATGGTTGTTTTTTCTTTAATTAAGCTGAAAAAGACTTTTGTCGTCCATAATTACACAAGTTTATGCCAGAGGAATTCGTAATTCCAAGGAAATACTAATGGGTAGGGTAAGCAAAAAAAAAAAACCGAAAAACTGAACCGACCAAAACCAAATTGAAAAATTAGTTAACCAAACCGCTTGGTTCGGTTTCGATTCAGTGTTTTTAAAAAATTGAAGGTATTGGTTCGGTTTCGGTTAACTAATATAAAAAACCGGTGGTTAACCGAACCAATCAATATACATATATTTCTATATATTTTATATATTTATGTATATTATATATTTTTTTATTTTTTATATATTATAAATTAATAAATATGCATTATATATATAAATATATATTTATAATATACTATTTATTATTTATTATTTAAAATATAATATTTTATATATATTAATAATTTTTTATTATATATTTTTATAATATATATTGTAAAAACTAAAAAACTGAAAAACCGACAAACCGAACTGACAGTTAACTGAACCGATCAACTGGTTAACCAACTAGTTTCAATTCGGTTCCGATTACTGATTTTCCAAAAACCGATACTACCAGTTCGGTTCAAGAAAATGCCCCACAGTTCGATTAACCGAACCGTGAGTAAAGAAAACAAGTCTTTAGATGTACTAGCAGAAGAGCACGTAAAAAAAATAAAATAAAATTATCATGTAAAGATATATTGATATTGTATGCATTCTAGGTTTGACCATTTATCATATAAATAAAACTATTTTCTTTATCAAAAGGAAACGTGGAAAAGATTCTCATCTTTAAAAACTAGATTGATTATTAAACACTAAACCAATAATCAGTCCCAATGCGAGGATTGTTAAAGTCCAAAACATAACCGAGTTCTAATTTAAATTCAATTTTGAGGTTTTTAAATCCAATCAGATTTCAAAAAGTTAAAAGCCAATTGATATTTTAATTTGTATTTTAAAATTTTGAAGTGGAGTCGGATTAAATTTGAATCTAATCTGAATCGAAATCGAATCCATGGTCTTCAAATCCAATTGGATTTCGGATGGATTTAGATGCATAGCGCCATCCAAACATACATTTCAATTGTATTGGATTTAAATGATGCGTTTATGTAATTGAGTGAGATTTGGATTCAACTCCATCTGATCTGATTAAATTTATAATTGGTTTCGACTATGATATGGAAAATATATGATATCCAAAATACAATAGGCCAATATAAACCAGAATCATAATGTTATTTATTAAAATTTATGAGTGGGTTTTGATTGATCAAAACTTTTTTCATATCATATCTTTTCTGCATCATAGATTTTCCCAAATTTATATAGCTATATTTAAAATAATAAAAAATATATTTATAGATATTATATTATATATGAATTTATATAGTAGATAGATATGTGAATATATACGTGTGATAAATTCAATATATTATATTTGCATTAGTTTATTACACATAAATGTTGAAAAGTAATTAAGTTTTTGTTTTTTGTATATAAAAAAATTAAAACAGAGTTAGATTAAATCCAAATCTAATCCAAGTCCATCAAGATTATAATTTGAACCAAGGTCTTCAAATCTAATTGGATTTTGAAAAGTTAAAAAATAATTAACTTTTATATTTTTTGTATTTTTAAAATTAAAGCAGGGTTGGATTAAATCCAAATCTAATTTAAGTCTGTTAGGATTCGAGTTCAAATTTTAGGTCTTCAAATTCAATCAGATTTTAGAAAGCTGAAAAATGAAAAGTAACTAACTAACTTTTATAACTTTTTAATTTTGTTGTATTTTAAAAAAAAAATAAGCAGAGTCAGATAAATTTGAATTTAGTTCAAACCTGTCAGGATTCAAATTCGAATTCAATAATTAGATTAGATTCAGGTTTTACTGAATCTGAGAATATTTTAATTTTTTTTTTGTATATATCTTAAACAATTAAAGCAGAGTCGAATTAAATTCGAATCCAATCCAAATACATTAGGACTTGAATTCAAATCTAATGTCTTCAAATCCAGTTACATGTCAAAAAGTTTAAAAGTATTCAACTTTTTTTGTGTTTTTAAAATTTAAAACGGAGTTAGATTAAATCCAAATCCCATCTTAGTTTATTAGGATTCAAATTTGAATCCAATAATCGGATCGGATTTGGATTTTGCTGATTCAGATCCATTTATAATCTTAAAAGAAAAGAGATAACAAAGTAGAGTATTAACAAATTTAGAACTTTAAGGAAATGAAAAGTCGAAAAGTTGAGCATTGACTAAAAAGAGGGAGAGCGTTAAACTTAAGGGTGATCATTTTAGCCTGGCCTGGAAATTTCGGGCTTGGGCCTGTGTTTTGTGTTTAGGCTCGGCCCACCCTATATATATTTAAATTTACACATTTTGTGTGTAATGTATACATATGTATATATGTTATTTTACATTATATTATATATTTTATATATAAATATTATAACATGACATGTATAATTTATATTATATGTAATATTTTATATTATATAATGTATAAAATAAGTTTATATGCATGTTATATCATTTAATATATAGATATGCAATGTTTTATATATGAGTAACATTGGCCCGGAATCAGGCCCGGCCCAGCCCATGATCACCCCTCTCCCTCCTTTTATATATAAATAATAGATAGATAGTAGATAGATATGGATATATGGAATAAACATGTTTTTGAAAAATTCGGATGACTTTATTTTTGGAAAATTCTGTGTAGGGCTGCAAATAAGTTAGATCTAATTTGAATTCAAATCAAATCCGATAAGAGTTGGATTTGGATACCTCCCTTGATTCTAATAAATTGAACTGGAAAAATCGATCCGTTAAGTTAATGGATCAAATTCGGATATACTACGATCCAGTCTACAATGAACCAATCTGATCCGTTAAGTATAAAACGTTATATATTATTTATAAATTATATATGTATATTCTATATATTATATATTATATATTATATATTATATATTATATATTATATAAATAATAAAATGTATTATTTATATTATATCATAATTTTTTATTACAATTTTGATAAAAAAAACTGGGGTCCGCATGATTTCAATAGATCCACGGTGGCCAAGCCACCAGTTTTGAAGATGGATTTGATCAACCTGCATTTATGGATTCCATCCTCACCAAAAGTCGATCTAATCACCTAGAGGAGTCTGGAGTCATGTTGTCGTTCAACCGGTTCAACCACCCGATCCATATTTCATAGAAAACCAATAAACGTTTATCTAGTCTCTTTGAGAACTGATCCTCCTCCTCCTCCTCACTTTTTGTCGTGCTCGTACATCGAGTTGTTGTATCGATTGATTTTGATACACCATTTTAAAATATTTAAATAAAACGTCTATAGGCACGTACATAGAAATCCAACAGTTCTTTCGGTTTCACTCTATAGATCTCTATTCGTAAAAAATAAATAAATGGAGATGGAATCACCGAGATAGATACGTACTGTTGCCTCATTTCTTTTCAAGTGTGGGTTGGGATTTAAGAACCTTAATTGAAAGAAGTATCATTATACCATTAATAGGGGTATAAGATTTAGTTAATTGATTAAGTATATCTTTACAGTTTGAAAATTGATTGATGCTATCTTACTATTTTTTATAATTAACTAACTCTATCTTTATCGTTAACATCCATTAATATTCCATTAACTAACTCTACCCTTATCGTTAACATCCATTAATATTCCATCAAAACTCGATGTATAATTTTTTAAACCCAATTTTACCCTTATCACCTTCTTTCTTATAACAGCGGCAAAACCGAACTGGTCAGTCCTTAGCCAGCGGCGGTGATTGCCCCCTCCACCTCTGCCCCCTAATTCTCTCTCCCCTTTGGCGCCGCTTGTCTCACTACGCTGAAATCACCCTAGCCCATTGCAGCTCTGAACCGGGTTTTGGATTGTCTCACTCTATAATTCATTCTCTCTTCTTTTGTGTCGCTTGTCTCACTCTGTAAATCATGCAGCCTTAGAAGCGGATTGACAATCAGATAGGCTTCCGATTCATTTCTAGCTTTCCAAGACAGAATCAGCAAATGTTCTCGTCAGGCATAATAGCCGGACGATCAGTATCATCAACCTTCCTCTTCCTCCGTGATAAATTTAATCAAAACCCAAAATAATAGAAACGAGCACAATACAGCCACAGCATCAATCACGCCACCCTGCCCCAGGCCTACCGGCGCTAATGGCAGAAACAACAGTCACCCATAGCGATTGTCGTGCTTACTCTCGAATTGGCACCAAATATAGGATGAGAATGCCAAATGCCAGTGTTTTCTCTGTTCACCACTGTAAAGTGAGAAGTTCTAGTGGCCGCACATGCTCTGCCTAAGGCTTCCTTCGTATCAGTCATTTTAGCCGAAAAAAAAAGAACTTCGGTTACTTGTTTTCCATGACTAGACGTGGGCAATGGGCGTATTGTAGCAGAATCAATTTCACCGGTAGGGAGGGACCACTGGATTACTGTTTTTAAAAGGAATGGCAGTGCATGTATCCGGCAACAGAGACGAAAATTGAAAGAGTAGAAAATTTGCTATTTCAAAATGGAAATAATGCTGTTATTAGATTCGTAACTTGTAAACACTGATAAATTTTGAATCTATAATTTCCACCTACGTAAAAGTTTCGGATGATAAATATAGTTTCAGAGAAAAAAGCATCAAATGTTTGTAAGATACTTCCATTGAATGTGCATAATATAAACCAAACCTCAAAATCACATTGCAGCCCTACATTAAATCATATTCCGAAACAAACCTGTGACAAAAATAAGATTACATATTAGAGACTACGATTAAAAATATAAATAAGAACAGGAAAATTTGCACAAGGACTATTACTTTAATCAGCGCTAATTAACACATTATAGAAAGGAAAAAAAAAAAATCGCTAGAAGACCAGCCAAAAGTTATGCTGTAAATGAAAACGCAAGGCGAAAAACTGCAGTTGTAAAGGCACCCCCACTCCCGAAAAAAGGTCACATACTTCCAACCCTTAATCCACAAACTAATAAATGATCAAGAAAAATCCAGAGTTGTCTGTTAGAGTAGAGATATACATTAGTGGGGCGCAAGAGGCAACAGTTAAATTTTTATGGTAAAAATAAAATTTCATTAAAAGAATAATAAAAGAGATACATCCTGATATGTGATAAGGAATCACCACATACAAGAAAACAACCAAAAATTGCTGAAGTAATCACACAAGATTTTCCAAATTACACAATTGAAACCCCAACACTTCCCCAAGTATATCCCCAAGATCCTCCTTTGTGACTTGTCTAAGTTCTGGTAGTATCAGTACCCACTCTGGAATAGATTTGCTAATTGCCCCCACTATCCTGTCCATTGGCTAAGATTTGTCTTCAAAAATTCTTTTATTTCTTTTCTTCGAGATCTAACAAATTGCAAAAATGATGCAATTCCAGATTATTTTTGCTTTTCTGCATCCTCTTATCTTCAGCCATGAGGAGAAAACTTTTCCAGGTGTTCTTGGATGAAAAAACAAATGGCAAATGTTTTCCTCCTGCTCTTTCCAAGATGGCACATGTTAACTATGTCAAATCCTCTATTTCAGGTGGTCCACTGTCAAAATACTATCCATTGCCACAAGCCATACAAAGGCTTCAACCCTAGGGGGAACCAGGTTTCCCCAAACACCTCCAACTTGATTTGAACTTGTATTGTCCCTACAAAGAGAGCAAGGTAGTATGATTTCCCAGAGAATTTCCCATTTGAGCATTCTTTCCACCATAATTCATCCCTTGGCTGATCTGAAATTTTCACCTTCTCTAATTTCTCCAGCAAAGCAATGCATCCATCAACCTCTCTATCCATTTATCCAACAAAGGTCTTATGAACTTCAGACACCAAACCAACTGCTCCCCCCCTTCTTTCATGACAGTGATTAATAGTAACTTCACACTCAGCCAACCTGTTTAGCCTTGGACAGAGGTCACTAAGCTTGCCCACACCATACCAATCATCCTCCCAAATTCTAATTCTTGCTCCCTCACCCCATAAGATGATCTCACCTCCCCTGACTCGTAAAATCTAACCACCCCATATTTTCCAGCCACCACTCTCCTCAATGAATTTTCCTCCTCCCTAAACCAAAATCTCCAATAGCCACTTTCCAGTCAAGGCCCTATTAAATACCCTCACCCTTCTAATAACAAGCCCACTATGGATGGAAATTTCAACCCTACCCGACGGGCACCTGCACCAACAAGGCAGTTGTTTTGCTTGAAGGACAGATATTATAGGAAAGCATACGAACTTTATTAGGTGTTGACTTTAATAACATTTTGAATTTTATGTGAAGGATAATTGATAGTTTATGTGATTTTTACATGTAATTGAAGGGATGAGAGATCCATCATATGAATGGCCGAACCCTGTAGGTAGGTTGGGTGAAATTTCAAAAATTTCTCTCTTCCATCTGAGAATCACATTCCCTGTTTTAGAAAAACTGCAATTTTCAATGATCAATCTTGAACCAAGAACCAAACCAAATCTGGACCAAAACAGTAGGAGAGGGAGATACCTGATACGAAGAAACAGTATCCTCCAATGAAGGTGTTCATGCCCAAAGAAATCTCCAAAGACTGCTCCCACTAAAAATGACACAGTGTAGGGTGGAGCAGAATCAGCAATGTTCTTCCCAATAACCGAATCCTTCAGCAAGAATTCGATGGAGGCTGTGAGCACGACTTCAGATCAGCCTTTCTCCAAAGACTGATATCAAGAACTATTCTTGATCACTCCTACAAAACTGGAGATCGAACTGGCTATGGCGGCAACTAGAGGAGAACGCAGGGAGGAGATGGCACAGTGTCACACTGTTGTTGTCTTCTCTCTACGTGATCTGGGATCTGATATCTCTGGTGGAGTTGAGATGTAGAATGGTCCGCCCCCCTCCTCCTTTTATAGCCTAAAAGAGACTAGTTCCTGATCCCATTAGGAGTTTCCTGATTCAAATCCTTATTTGAATCTGAACTCTCTTTAAGAAATAAGGATAGACCCTTATCTTATCTGCATATTAGATCAGCCCTCCTAATCTTATTAGGAGTTTCCAGATCCAAATCTATATTTGGATCTAGACTCTCTGAGTGGATAGGGATAAGACCCTATCCTATCTGCTAATCCAAATCCCAGATCTGCCCCTCTTTAAATAATCTAATTATACCAGTTCGAATTGGGCTTTGGGCCCATTAAGTCTATGTGCTCACTAACCTTCCAAACTACTGCCCAGTTGGGCTTCCTTGTATGGCGTGCAACCCAAATATTAATCTACACATCAGCCACATGGGTTCAGCCCAGCCTCTGTTACAAAGCCTGGCCGAATTCACTGAAAAGACAGTGAACCCCCTGAAGCCCATCACATGGGCTCCTAATGGGCCCAACACTTACACTAAGTGGTCCCTGGGCCAAGCCACCTTATAAAAACCCAGGGACTGTAGGCAGATGCAAGATTAACCCATCAGGTATAACACTCAATGGTCTTACACTTAACCTCTCAGCCCATAATGATCAAGCACTGCCCAACAAGAA